CCCTACTTCCCAGCCCTCCAGAGGAGATGAAAACTCAATGATCCCCTCTGGAGCTGTTTTCTCCCTTGCCAATGAAGGCTTCTGGACAAGAGAATCCTCCTCCGGTGCCTAGAGAAACCAATAGATTTAGAAGTAAACCAACTCCTGCAGTCCATGCTGGTCAAACAGAGTAGTAAAGAGCAGGGCATTGGAACAAAACATTCTTCCTGAATTCTACAAAGCTTGTTTTATCAATACTTCTACAAAGTCTCAAGCATGATTTTCATCATCTTTAAAAAGATGCTAATAATATTGCATTATCCTCTTAAATTGGGAGAAGATTGTTTTTCTTTTTAATTTAGGACTTTAATGAGATAATACATAAGAAACTCTTAGCAAAATACTTTAATAAAAATTGCTGTTAAACTAGTTGAACTTTTAATTGGAGATACTCGTAATTTTGTGTTTTAGAAAAGATACAATTGTGCAATATAATACTGATCTTGAGACCAGCAGTTAGCATAATGGCTATGTCACTGGACTCCCATGTAGTCGACCGCGTTTCGAGTCCCTGATCTGGTGGCTTAAACTCACGCCGGGCACGTGTGCGTGCATACCCAAGATCCCGAGAGGAGAATGGAGGAGAAGGGACTGTGGTGTGGCCATCCCCCCTGGGGGTTGATTTCTCGCTTTCTGTCTCTCTGTCTCTCTGGTGAGCGCACGCGTCCTATAGCAAAATCTTCTCAAAAAAAAATATATATAATACTGATCTTTCTTGCAATGATTGAGCCACATAACTACACCAACAAAGTTTGTGTTGATAAGTAATAGGATAAAACCTCACTCTTTTAAAAGTTAAACTACATACCAACAGGAAATTAAATTTCAGCCTAGTGAAATGAAATAATTGGTAAACAAATGAATAGACAAATAGGATAGTCAAGGGAAGTTAATATATTGATGATACAGATTATAGCCACTACAGTAGTTTCTAGGTTGCAGTACTTGATTAGTTTAATTCTAGTTACTATACTTCTTGAAAATAAAGTTTTATTAGAACATATAAACCAGATAATTCACCACTACAAATAGGACTTCCTTTTAGTAAACTGAAACGAGAGAAATGTAAGTGATTCACATCAACATAGGATGAAATAGTCTTGCGAGAAACAGTGCCGAATCCCACTTTTCTCAGGTAGCATCAAGGAAAAGAGATGACCCAGAGAAATTAAGGCCAGTTCTCACTGCCTCTATGATTTCAAGGATTCCCTCAAGTTCCCAAAGCTGCTCCTCATGCTATTTAAGGTGCAATACTATATGGGTATTATCATGACTTTGGCGTCAGACAGCCTCAGGTTTGACTCTTTTTCTACCGCTTGTTCTATTGAGGCAACTTAGTTAATTCTTTTTAGACTTCTTTTCTTTTCTGTAAAATAAAATAGGATAAAAGAAGAGACTAACCTAGTCTCTGATTCATAGTAACTTCTTGTCAAAGGTCCCTTCTCTTCTCTTTTCATCTCTTTGAATTGAAGTATCCATTTGTAATGAACTCTCCCTTGGAAAACTTGCTTATGACCTGTAATCTATAAATACTTTATTACTTTTTTTATTCAATAAATATTTACAGAGTGTTTATTTTCATGTAGTAATTAGATTAGGTAGTTGCAATTTAAAGGAATCCTGAGGAAATGGGAGGCAGAAAGAAATGTTTTGAGGCTAGCTATTGGGTTGGAAAGCACAGAAACGTGTACCTGTGACGGCTGAAGTACACAGACCAAAAAGTAGCACATGGGGGATGCATCTAGAAGGAGCATGAGGGAGTCAAATATTCGGCTAGATCGGAAGGGTACCAGTAAGACCAGTGGCTTCAAGCTTTTTGCAAGAGTGACAATGAAGATAGCCCTTTTATATATAAACTAACTTATGTAACAATAATCAGGCTTTTCAGTACAGAGTGTTATTTTAGAATAAAAAGTTTCCAAAAGCATACATTATATGGTAAGTATGTTACACATATTCAGCATCCATTTTTGTTCCCAAAGAAAAGAAAAACTTTCATAGAAAAGAGATTTTTTATTCAAATAGACTAATTTGGAAATTTTTATATGAATGGGAAAAAATAACTTTGGAAATTTGTATACCAAAGAAAATGACAAGCCCTAAAATCATTAAACTAGGTGTCACTCTAATGAGGCATCTCGTCTAGTGTTTATCAAAAAGGGGTTTCATGGAAGTGCCTCAGAGAGTCTCAAAGGCCCTTCAGGGTCTTCAGCAAAACAAGCTGATAAGACTCAGAGAACCCATCACCACTATAAAAAAGCAGTAGCTTGGTTTTAGAATTTCATGTAAATATTCTGAAAGTTAACCTAATTCATGGTATCATTTCAAGAAAGCATTCTGGTAACCTTCTCCCCAGGGAGATTCATTCATTCCACAAGCATTTAAGAACCTACTATGTTTACATGCTGGACTCTGGCTTTATAGACAAGAAAAAGACTATTACCTCATTGTCTGAAAGCTTACAGTCTAGAAAGAGACTAACAGCTAAGCAAATAGAGTTTTATCTAGCAAATACTTCAATAGCACTATGTACAAGGAGACATGAGAACATGGCAGGGAGTGTTTCTGATTACTGGGTTAAGTTTTCTAGGTAGAAAAAGATGAGAATATCATTTTATTAACAATTACAGAAATCCCTCAGAAGTATGGAACTATAAAGGTTCCCAACTCTGTCACACCCAACATCCTCTTTAATGTAAATATTTCATAATGCTTTATTTTACTATTGTTAAGTAAAAGTCATAGATAATATCACTTTTATAATCGAGAATATAAATTTTAGATAGGTTATATAAATTTATAGATAGTATAAATTGTATAAATGTAGTTTCAAATATGTAATACGTAATACCCTACACTTAACATAAAAGAAAATAAAATAAATATTTAGAATACATAATATCTAGTTTAATATATAAGTGTTCCAGGAATGTATAAATTCAATGATACAGTGAATTTCTCAGATGCTCATATCTAATTATGAGGAGGAAGTCCTTATTTAAACAACAAATTCAATACCCAATTGCATATTATTACTTTTCTTTATATCTGCATTTTATCATAAAACTTGAATATGTATGTGTGTTTATGTAAGTATATATGTATATAAGTACATGCATATATAAGCATATTTGTAAATATGAGACTTAAAAAAGAAAAATGAAATTAATGTATTTTCCAAAAAATGAAATTAATATTTCATAGAAAAATGAAATTAATGTATGAGTTAATATGTGGAAAATTTTTGATATCTGTATAGTTTTCTCAAAGTATACATTTTCTATGAACTTTCAACAATTATATACATACTTAGAAATTCTGTGACTGTAATAGGTACAAGTGTAGACTAATTTATCCTTACTACAAACACAAAGTTTGTTATTGAAGATGTAATTTTCTGAGACAGTGACTAACTCAGAGTGGAGATCCAAATTAACAAGCTAATCATCTAGCAACTTACCTGGTAGCTAAATTCCTAAAAGTTTAATATATATTAAAATCTGAAAAAGCAAATTTCTAGTTTTATGTAAAACTCAGCTTCAAGGCTCAGTGACTGCATATTTGTTGTTTGCATATACAAATGACTAGCAGGACACTGAAAAGTTACATCAGACATGGTACAATTTTCTAGTTCTTAGAGATTGCTTCAGCTATTACAAGACTTCCATCCTAGTTCACTGTACTTGCATGTAAAGGAGAATTCAAGAACGGAGTGTCAAATATGGTAAAGACATAAAGTACAATGAGAACCAAAAATAAGACACTGGGCTTGTCAGTTCACATGCATTGATTATGTTAATTAGATCCAATATTGGCTACATTACAAAACTGAGGTGGCTTCAGAAATTCACAGAAATAGTGCCTGTTCTTGTTGGAATCTTGGTAATAGACAAGAGAGGTTAGCACTGGAAGACTACACATGATGAAGAATTGAGCTATTGATTTGTTTTTTTTTTTTTTCTTCTTAAGACATTTGTGAAATATTAGAGCCATGGATAAGAGTATATTAAGCCATGACCAGTAGAC